TACATACACACATGTTCTCACCATTTTTTTCCAAATCTTGTATTTTAGAAATGAATAAAATTAGGCAAACGGGATTTCGTATACCAGAAAACGATGGTTTTCCTAAACAGGTTCTATATGGACTTGGAGAAGTTCTGCATAGAAGACCATACATTCTTCAAGGTTATCATTGGAGGTTTCAACGCCAAGACTGGACCAAGAAGAACGTCTGAAGATCGTCGCATTGGGACCGACGGATTAGAATGGAAGAAACAGGGTGAGCGGCTGAGTTTACCATGGCGATCAAGACAACCCATGGTAACTCGCAACTCCAGAAGCCCCGCCCTCAGCGCTGGACGTGGGAGTCTCCTAATGGAGAGTACCATAACGAAATAGACCACATCATAGTAAATAGGTTTTGCCTAACAGATGTCGTTGTGTGCCAAAATTCTACACGAGATCAGGCCTGAAACAGCGGCCTGGCTAAACAATCTTTCTCTCTCTCTCTCTCTCTCTCTCTCTCTCTCTCTCTTTCATTCGCGGCTAGAAAATGAGACTCAAGGTTCGAAAGCAATCGTAAAAAAATTTTCGGGACTAAATACCTAAAAGGACAACTAAAAGAAAACGAAATAAAACATTAGGTGTTTTTATAGTGAAAATATGCGAGAGAACCAATTCCAATAATAAAACATAGGTTTGACCTGTTAAGCACCACTCAATTGGACAGTCGACTAGTCGCAGGAATAGTGCTTCCGCCCTGGAGGAATCCGAACGATAAACTTCGCTATGATCCATAAAGAGCCGGCGACTACCTATGGCTAATACCTGATTATCTCCCATGACGGCTATCTCGGGACTAGGAAAAGCCTGACAACTTCATAACACGATTATCTCAAATTCAGGAAAAGAAGAACGATGCTCGACCAACAAACAACGTGCTGATGAGAGCAGGAATAAACATACCCTCGTGCCGCAGTTGAAGCCATACATCAAACGGTTTTCATGAGTTACGGTTGCCAAATAACGAGATGAATGGAAGAAGCAATGGGGCCGCATGGTAAGTGACGACCAGTTATTTAAGTACCTAATTAAGTAGAAATAAAACAATAAAGTGTAGCAAAATCAGAAAATCTCTTGGGATAAGCTAACTGATAAGTACAAATCGGTTTGAAAAGAGTTATGAAGAGCTCTAAAATCTACAAAAATAGTTCGCTATCAGTTCACGGTGGCCACGAGACGGGAAACTCAGCGGTAAATCCCACTCAAGCACTGAAACCAACGAAACACCTACAATTTCAGAGAGCTGTGAGCTTTTACGAAGAAATATTCAACAACCCAAATTAAAAAAAACAAGATTGTTACAAAATCCCCATAACATGGTAACTTTCACAAAATGCTTCAACCATGGAAAAATTCTTATGACAAGCATCTCCCGGGAAGAGTACACGTTGCCCCTATGTCGTAATGAGGTGAAGTGAAGAATAGAAAGACGTGCTCTATTGTGTTTACAACAAGTAGCATAGTTCCTCGAAGTACTTGCACTTAATCTCTGGCAAATTCCATAACAAAAAAAAGAGTGAAGATAAATTAAAATGGCCCTTCTATCACAGATACGTCAACATGGGCCGAAACGATTAACCATTACAAGTAAGATCGTCGCTGCGTTGTTTACGATAAATACGGCTTCGTTTCTAGTCAACTCATTCAGCTGTTAATTAAATACAAACGGAACAGTAGACCAGAGCATTTTAAGGTAAGAGGATCTGCTACATAAGAAGTTATGGAACGCGACCAGTAAACTACTCACAGAAATTACTGACATCGTGGAAGAATACTAGTCACAAGGCAATAACAAGACTTCCATCCCTTCCATGACGATCAAAAATCATGTATGATGAAAAGCTGAGGAAGCGCTGCCGGGATTCAAAGGATACTCAGATGCTCGCATGCTCAAAGGCTCACTCAGCATTCAAGATGTCAATGAAGGCAGCAGACGACAGCTTGTCGACAGAAAATGCGACAACAGAACATCTAACGAATAAGTGCTACATCTATAGGTTTTGTTGCTAGTATTTAATGTATTTATTTAGAAACTGTAATTTTGCTCTTCTACCCCCAAAGAACGACTTACAGGGAAAGACTAATATGAAGTGTTAAGAGTAAGTACAAAAAAGTGGGTAAAAATGAATGACGACAAATGGACAGAGAAAAAGACAATATGGAATTTATTAGAACTATATAAGCACTTGCTTAGATTCTTGGATGCCCCGTATTCATTAGTTGTGCTGGTCCCAGCATAATTTGCATGGTTTCGGAGTTTTACTGGTTTAGCCATTGTGTTTCCCTGGAGTCTCGTGGTCAGCTAGGTCAAAGTCTACCCCTGGTCGTCACCACCACAGGCAGTCGCCGCCTTTGTGGATCACAGGAAGATTTGCCACCACCATGCGACTAGTTTGCTATTAGGATGATGGTGTATCCTAGTATTGGTTTACTCTTATCTGGGCTTCCTAATGAAAACGCCGGATTCCTTCTCAGCATGGGAGACCCTGCCGGCGAAATGAATTCCACCGCTGTACATCGTAGCCCGACACGCAGGAAGACTTCCAAGCCACGATGAGGCGGCAAACCGCTGGGTGGGAAGTATACAAGTACTTCCATTAAGAGAGCAGGGATTGTATGATGAAAAATGTCTAGTCGACAATGACTGATAAGCTCAACTACTGGATAGTTTAAAATTTTCGAGTAGTCAAAGACTAAATGGATACACTTGCACAAATAATTAATAGGATAATGATATGACTTAATGCAGAGTGTAATAATAATAACGCACTAAAAAAGGATAAAGCTTTCGGCATTGATCAATCCCTGAGGGGTGCGTCATGCATTCGACTTCATTAAACATCGTTTAGAGGTGAGTGAATGCATATCTGGCCTTTACAATGATTCGCGCTGGCCTACCGATATATCGAGTCAGCGCTGCTATTCTCCCAAACAAGTCTGGCACCAATTTCCCGACCCCGGAGGTATGGAAGGCTGGTGGGCCATATGCGGGGCGATCAATTCCATGAGTGTGTTGCAGGGCGCCTCAGACCACTGCGCCACACGCGCCCAATAACGCACTAATAATAATAATGGGTAATAATAATGGTAATCATAGATAATAAAGCTACAATAATTTAAATGAATGAACTATTTTTATAAAAATACTGCACTAATATTAATAATATAATAATAATAAATAATATTATAATATAATATTTTATTATTATTACAATAATACTACATTAATATTAATATATCGCCACTATTAATAGAAAAATACTAATATCACACATTTTGCAAAATTTCTAAATGTCGTTATCGGGAGGGACCTTGTTTCTCGATTTGATCTCAGAGAGGCGGAGCTTTTAGTTGCGAGAGATCCCAGTTCGCTTCTAATTCCATGAAAGAAATGAGGATAAATGTGAAGGAATCTTACTTCACATTCAATTGGAACACATATGAAGCTAAATACTAGTAGGGTAACGCTGACAGTGAAGATCTGATGGCATAAAACTGTTTTAGAAAAAGAATTTCCTAAAGTCATAAAGTGCTGATATTGGAATAAAGGTGAGAAAACACTACTGAAAACGTATGCTTACACTAGTTTGTGGCTTTCTGCTTCACTTACAACATGCATGTGAGATTGGTCACGGGAACACGCTAGAAAATCGACAGCAAACAGCATTTACATGACACTTCGATACTTGTGAGGTAGGAATACCTATAATGCTATTCCTCTTATTCCTCTTACTTTCGTGAATACTTAGACGATAATATTCTTCTACAGATGCCTGAGATACTGTTTTTGGAACAGAAAAGTTCGATATTCCTCAATAGACAACACTCACAACGGGATCTAATAAATAAGCTGTCACCGCCAATACACCCTGACAATGAAGTTTTCTACGCCTACTAAATTACAACAGAGGTGAAAATAAAGTTCTGAACAATAAAAAACCTCAAAAAGCATCCTTTCGAAGTAAGAAGACAATTGAAATTATTATCGAAGGTATTGCTACCTTTTCAGACGCATGCAGAGGTGTTCTGCAATACACGCTGTATAGGCCGCCGGCGCGATCAAGTATCCACGGCTCACCTGGCTTTCCATCCCTTCCGGATCCGTAAATTGGTGCCAGACTTGTTTAGGAGGATAAAAACGCTCACATGACATATTGACAAGCCACATAAAGTCACTGCATAGGCTAAATATGCACTCAGTCACCTTTATGGTGCCAGAATTAAATGCATGCCGCTCGCCTCAGAGACTTAAGCCGAAAGCTTTGTCTTTTATCCTCTCAATACTTTCCGAGTGTGTGCTTAACAAGCGCACTGATTGAACAACATTCGAAAAATCTAAGGAAATCAGCACGGAGAAGAGTAAAGTAGTTGATGGAGAACAGCATAAGACGTTCTTAGTCTTTTCAAAGAAAACAATCGAACATCACACGGATTAGCGTTAAGTCGGAGCTCAAAACATTGAAGGATGAAACGACTTCGAGAGTAATGAAAGGATGTAATTAGAATCATATTGGCACGACTCTCATACACATGAAGAGGGCAATAAATGGCCTCGGGATACTACGGTAACAGGCGTCGTTCACGTTCTCGTACTAGGAATCGCAACGCTTGGATGAGAATCCAGCAATGGACTTCGCTGCCGTGCGCGCTGCCTTGCGCTCAAGGACTTCCAAACTCGGGCTCTGAACCAGAGAACAGTTCATGTAAACTCTGTAATGTTCCTTCATTTGCCACTAGAATAGCTCCAAGGAAATCTCACAGAGCCGTAGTTTTCGGATCACAAAATCGACCTCGGCCCGCGGTCGAAGTCGGTAAACCGTGCCCTGTTCAGGAAACCGCTTCCACTTTAGGATTCTATAGAAGCAACAAGGTTTCCATGGGTTTCCTCCAATGCACAAAAACAACGGGCGAATGTCCCTACTCAAGCTGACACCACAGGATCGCCGTATGAACCGGAGCCAATGGACAGTCCGACACTGCCCCGAGTCTCATCGACGCTCTCATCGGACTCTGTTGCAGATTTCTTCCCCTTCGACTCGGAAATTTTTGAAGAAACTAGCCCAAATAACGTGAACAAAGTAAACAAGAATGTGGATAAAAAAGATAACAATGAAAAGAAGAATGGAACGCATGGTGTGGCTGCTCTCAGAAATTCGAATACTGTTACTATCTGCACACCACCTGGAATGATCACAGAGCTGCCAGCTAAGGCTGCGCTCGATACTTCAGATGCCAGCAAATCGTTGAATGCTCGCATTCCACTAGTGCTTCACTCTGAACTGTCCGACAGATTAAAGAGCTTAGAGCTATGGCAGGATTAGCAAAGAAATCTCCCGAAGATGCTTCAATGTTCAAGAGGACCGATTTGGATGCTAAAGTCGTAGTAGCATCGGCTACAGGAGCGACAAGATTGCTGAAACCATTGCAACAAACTCATCGGCGCGATCAGCCACTTCGGCCGCCTCCACTGGCACCTCAACTGAAATTGCACCAGTCAAGTCGTCACCATTCGCACCAAAATCGAGTTCTCTACATGTGACGAATCCAACCGCGGAGTGTTGGAAACGAAACTGAGTGCAGTCCTCTAGCTGTCGTTGCTCGCAATCTGAAGTTTTGCTGTCAACTGGCACATGGTTCTACTACAGCGATCATCTCCAACTTCACCTTCAGAGTTGTTCCAGTCAATCGCCGAATGTTTCAATATCTTAGCTGATGACATTATCTTTTGCACTGTTAACACTTTGAAGATGGAGAAATTGATATGGACTAAGTGCTATGTTCTTAACTTCAGAAAGTTCGAAATAGCAGACAGCAATGGATTAATCGCACTGCGAGATAGGATATATTTTAGAGCGTAAGGAACGTGTAATTCCAAAAAAAAAGTGGTAAAAGCAAAAGTAAACAAACCGAACTTCTCATGGAATAAATGTTGTTATCTAGCAAAATCTTTTCAAAAAGATAAAAAATAACAAAAAGCAATTCAATTTGTAAAAAGAAACCCACCGTTCCGCCGTAGGTGAACCATGAAGGAAGTAGAAAATGTTAGAGATCAGATGTCGAGCCGCCGATGGCATCTTCAGCAGAGACGGCATGGAAGATGGTCTGTAAATACACAACCTGATCACTATCGTTCATGATTCTTCTAATAAACTACGTCTCAAAATGACACAGACTTGAAGTGCACTGCAGAATGTGAGGAATTTGGGACCAATTCCGTTCTTCAATAAGATAACGACATGGAGGATGTCTAATTCAGCGTTAGCCAACAAGCCAAACAGTATGCAACAAGAAAATATAAAAGAAACCATGGAAGCTATTCGCTGGCCATACTGACACCGGTTGGATAGGTTATCGACATGAAAAAAGTCGTAATCAGTTGAAAATCAGTCAAGAACCGTCTTGCTTAAGAGGGCATCGCCGAGTAAGGCTAGTTCATCTGAAACGTGCTCCAGCATAGAAGATTCGATTGGTTCAACTACGAAAACACACAACGCGAGCTCGAACACCTGTGGACCATCGACTTGGATCAATCGGCTCTGAAGAAGTTGAAGACGTCGAACCGTTGGCCCAATATAAGTAACGTGGCAACCTCGCGTTAGCCGATTAATCCAGAGAAATACACGAAGAAAGTTCAAAAGTGTAGAAGATGAGATTTTCACATATGATTAATTCAGACGACTAGTCATTCCATTCACTCTCCTCGTTTCTTCCCTTGGTCCATCCATTAAGCTTACGAAATTTTGAATTTCATTCACGTCGAAGAGAAGCCTACACTAATGATGAGGTTTCCGTTATGAGGGCTTAGTTCGAGGCATGAATAATCGATGGACGAAAGTGCTGGGGAAGTTATAAATGTATAAGCGGCTTTGTGTTCGCGTAGAAAGTATTTGTATGAGAGAGTTAATCAACCGAAATGTTGAGCTAAGATCACATAAGGATCACATGCAATTTTTTTTATAACCATACAAGAGGTTGTTATTAACTCCGCAACCAAAACAGAAAAACATGAAACCAAAATTTTAGTCGTACTGGAAGCAAAATAACTTCTTCGAACATCCACCGTTTTCTATCGAGTCTTCTGCTGAGTATTTTCCGTGGAGACTAACTCCTTTGAGCTCACATGAAACATAATGTACCCCTCTGACATTAAAATACCAGTCTTAAATACTGTGTGAGATCACGCATGATAGCGAGGCATTCCCCTGCGATTCGTTTAAGGACCAATGGGATTTGTGTCATGGTTACAACCCGTACCATAGTGACATGCGTCAGCATGTAAAAACTTTGTAGGGTTTTGATTAACACCAACGAATGGCTGCTAAACACGTACGAATTATCTCCATTTCTCAAAATGAGGGCGCGTGTAACTGAGTTATTAAGGGTGCCGTGCAATGCATGTGTTTTCGGCGATTCGCTCTCATTCGCAGCCTAAACCAATCCCTCGATTTCTCCTGAGGCGGCAGACTAGTCCCTGACTTGTCTGGGAGCACAGCACTAATGATTTGGTATGTCGGCAACCCATCGCAAGTCATTGCACAGGCCAGATATGCATTCAGTTAACTTTACAACGCTACGAATAAAGTCGAATACATGGATCATAACTGGGGAATTGATAAACATCAAACGCTTTATGCTTTTATGTCACGGTACATTTCAAACGCAGATTCATCAATCTATGTGAACTGCCTACCGGTGGTCTTATACCGCCTTCGTAGACAGCTAACATGGAAAGTGTAAGATGTTGGCCAAGTTGCCTGGTTTGTGATCGAGACCTGTATGTAGAACACTTTCTTAAGAAGTTATGTAAATCCCAAACCGACCTTCTGTTAAACTCGGCATTGATTGATAATTCGATGTTTTTCTTCAATAAGCAGACACAAGATTGTTATTATAGAATCTATTAGGATACAATAGCTGACGTTTCGGCAGTTTCGCCTTCTTCAGAGCCTGGAAAGGTCAAATTGAGATGTGATCTATTCAGCCAAACACTTTCATAACCCTAGCAGGTGTTTAAATAAAGCTGTTTTTTACGCGAATACAAATTTATTTAATAAGTTTTATCTAGGGTTATGAAAGTGTTTGGCTGAGTAGATCACATCTCAATTTGACCTTTCCAGGCTCTGAAGAAGGCGAAACCGCCGAAACGTCAGCTATTGTATCCTAATAGATTGTATAATAACAACCTCGTGTCTTTTCTTCGTATTTTTGTTGAGTAAACGCGAGGTGTTACTATTCTTTGTTCACGATTAAGCTGACGTTTCGGGGGATTTCGCCTTCTTCAGAGCCGCTTTCTATGAGGTTTCCACTAAGTATGTCACGTAGAGACCAACCGCACAGAAATCACGTGGAAGTATAATGAACCTCGTGTACCTCGTGTGTTACCTCGTGTCTGCTTATTGAAGAAAACGATCGAGTTATGTAAATGTTTGTTTACGTAAACCGCAATGCCACTACGATCCATGCAGGTTTCAAACAAGGCAAAACCCGATGGAACGTCAGTTACTGTGGGAAAAATGTGGTATTAACCACAATTTCAAGTCAACTGATGAAAAACGCAGAAACTTATTTAATTGGAAGTCCGTCCTAAAAGTTACAACGAAAACCGGGTCTAATAGAACTGGCTGTGAGACAGGCGAGACGAAGGACCCGCATGGTGTGCTTGTGAACACGTTAGTCCTCGGAAAGGGTAATAGCGCGTTCGTTCCCTACCGTAGACACCTACGGTCCGGAGTTTTGCAGGTATCTCAGCATCATTGTGGTTGTATCACACATAATACCCTGCCGTAAAAAAAATTTATAGACAGTAAGTATAAAAGTTGAATAACCCTAATATTATTCACAACAATCTGACTATTGTAATGAATATCAGGCGCGTGTGGCGCAGTGGTCGGAGGCGACCTGCGACACACATATGGGGTCGGCAAATTGGTACCAGACTTATCTTGGAACGATAGCAGCACTGGCTCAATACATTGGCAGGCCACCACGAGCCATTGTATACGCCAGTTATGCATCCAATCACTTCCAACGATGCTTTATGACGTCAAATGCATGGCGCACTCCTAAGGGATTGATTAACGTCGAGAGCTTTTCACTCTTATTTTTTGTTAGCATTATTTCCTGCTTTGGTTACTGTTTCTATCCCATTTTATCCTTTGTCCTTTTAATGAATATTAGTAAGTATGAACAATATAAATAGAATGGAATATTGACAAAAGTACTACGGTAAGAAATAGTAACCAAAACCGGAAATAGTACTAACAAAAAATGGGAGTGAAAAAGTAAAAACAAGAACCAAAACTTATGTAGTGACAGCTCATCTTCGTTATTAGAACTCATGAGACTATGAACGAACATGCTAGAATTTTTATGAATGACGATGAATCATTATCCTGAATACACTAATATTCTAAAGCATCAGAGCGATGATAAGGTGTTTTTGCTGTAAGAAAAAAAATGGTCAGAAAACGAGTGTAGATTGGAAATGTCAGAGAAAATGAAGTGTTCAACTGCCAGAAGAAAATTAGGATAAAGCTAAGGACAATCATCAACCCAAAGATTACATGAAATAAGGAAGAACACCATGTGTTTCTAACCTCAAGCTAATGAAATAGAATTAGCTTAAACAGAATAGGGGCAATGATTCCTGTTCCTTAACTAATTGGAAGATTCGCCGCAGTCGCAGAAGAATCCGAATCCGCAAGAGAATCAGTTTTATCTTCGATCCACGAATACTGGCGACTTCTTGGGGAAAATTTATGACCACTCAAGCATCCCCATCTACAGATTGCATATAAAAGACTATGCTCAACCAGCTTTAGCTTTTAGCTAATGAAAAGGGCGACATTTGCTCAAGGTTTTTCGGAACCTACACACGAAGCCAATCATCAGTATAATGACGGTGGCACAATATCGAAACGTATGAGAGAAGTTATCCAAGCACCTACGTAGACAGCGAAGCCAAAATGAGGTAAAGTAATGCAGAATCTGTGCCATATAAAGAAAGAAAAAAACAGTCAAAATCTGTGCTCATTCGCCGAATAGTGAAATAATATGTTTGAGCGATCTGTCCTGCTAGTGATCGATTTACTTCCATTGTGTGAATGTCAAAATTGGGTTTCATTAAATATGTATGTAAATCATGCAACAATAATGCAACGGGATTAGCACATAACGCTCGATGTACAACTGGTCCGAAAACAGTGGCTATTTTCAACCCTAAACCAATAACTCGCCATTTTCTTGATTAGCATAACGAGGTCGTTATTATATAATCATTTACAGCAGCTAAAAAACTCAGTTGATTTCCCTTTCTTCGGAGTCTGGAAAGGTTAAGTTGACTGCAATCTAGTCAGCCATCCACCTTCATAACTTCAAAAGAAGAATCAAGAGCCTTAGATTTCAATCACACTGAAGGCAGAATAACTTCTCCGCACACTCACCGCTTTCTACGGTGGGTCTTCCAAGAGGTGTTTCGCGGCCAAATACCCTCACAACTAAGTCAGAAGAAACAACATATCATACTGAACTATATTTACTGTAATGGAAATTATTAGAACTGGTAGATCTTCCCCTCGAAGAAGTATCTTATTAAGACCAAAATCTGACTTTCTAAAGCCAAAAAACTCCTTTTCGTGTTAGAGCACGTATTTCGAAAACGAACGAGAGGAATTTCGTGGAACACGACATGGTGATGTTCCCCTATGCGTTATCGTTGGT